CCCCTCCCCCTATTTCGTGACCCACTTATTTTCGACGTAATTGACCTTTACTCAACCAAACAACCCCATTCTCATTGGCCGTTACATGGAGTCGAAATATGTGCGCAATAGAGAGGATTGCGTCTTCTCAGTGAATATTGCACAAATCTCTCTAGACACCTTCCATCTACAGCATATATGTCTGACACAATTTTACTGCACAATAATTCCAATCTTATTTCTGAAGAGATCAAGCTTTTTCAAAAGCCGCCGACTGGTCGAAGTAGAGATCCCAAATTGCCTCATATTTGTGTTTTAGGTGGCAGTAGAAGGAGAAATCGGGTAACTTCAAGTGACGGAGAAGATAAACCAGTTAAAGACAGGAATGGAACACGGAAGGGCCAATGCGAAAACATTGTCGACGATTCAGGCTTTCAATCAAATCTAAGTGGAGAATCGCTGGAACACTGTGGAATTGGGTATGACGAACTTAGTAATGTATAGTAGCAGGAATCCTTTAAGTCCTGATGATATTTAAACACTTTCTGCTAAAATTAACGGCTAATTGATGGCAAGAATTTATCGAAGTGAGGTCCAACCCCAGCAAACACGTTTAGATTAGTTTCGTTTTACCTATCTTGCTTATTAAAGTAGAAATAGAATATAAAATGATAGTTTAAGAAAGCACAATGAAGCTTGATTCTTGAAATTCAATATCCACATAATTTTCAACTAATTGCCTTGAAAGCTTGGACACAAACGGCTTCTTGCACAAATCTTAAGTGTTGCTGTTTTATAAGGAAAAGAAGCTTTGACTTCAACTGAGGCTGAGTACGAATTTACGCGGCAGGACAAAGTTTGTCAGTTTAAATATTTTCTTCATGGAGTGAAAACAGTGAGGTTTTGAACCATTTGTTTAAATGAAATTAATTCAAATGAATAATCAATATAAAATAACAAAATCCTCAAACTAATAACAAGATAAAATAAAAATATAATTCAATTTTTTTAGAATTATCCTCTCTTCCTCCCGATACTGCAAGTGTTTTAAAGAAATTTTTATTTCAAATGTTGAGTAATAGCTTTCAGCTGTAGCAATTAGGGACTTTAGTGAAAAATTGAGATATTATTGTCTTTTCCTTATTTCCATTGGTAATTATCAGAAATTCCGACTGCAAGAGCGACTCTATTGGAGCTTAGAAATTGGATGAATGCGAAGTGACCTTGACTACAATGGATATGGTCATCTGCATGCTCGCCAATAATGACTATTATGACATTCTTTGAGCTAAAAGTTCATGTCAAATGTACATATTAGACTTATAGCTCTTTTACCAAGGAACGGGAAGTGGACTATGCGATTTGAAGATTTTGTTTAAATCTCCATTTTTTTATCAAGATCACTTTATTCATAAGTTCTATGATGTTTAGAATTTGGTAGCTTTCCTCGTCTATAAGAGCGTTTACATGAAAGCTGAAGATATTGTTTCTTCTATTTGACTTCGTTTTTTGCATTCTCAAGGTTTGCGCGCTAGTTTAAATTAATGCATTTGTTGGATAAACCAAAATCATCCCATGGAATCTTTCAATTTTGGCTTGTGAAGCCTTTATGTGATGCATATATCGCGGTTAACAATCAAACGTTCATATCTGCTATATAAAGATCACAGGAATTCCACATGACATAACTCAATAGATTTCTCTTAATTTATAATTCTCCACTTTAGGGGGGGGGGGGTTGTAAGATGATGGGCAGTTGAGAAAATTGTGTTTTTTCGGTAAAATTATTGTTTAAAGATACTAAATGGGGGAAAAATAATCCAGAAATTCGTAGAAAGCCCTGCATCCAACATATTTTTTGTACATTTTTAAATCCAACAAAAACAAATGGCTGCACTCCTGTACTAAAATCTTTCGTTTAACTGACATTTTAGTCAAGATAACGACGATCCTAGCATGAAGTTTATGCAAAGTAGAATGAACGAAAGGGAAAGTCATTCCAGCTCTGCGGCTCCTTCACCACGATCATCACGAACGGCTTCACGATCGGCTTCACGACCACTCATCTCTACGCCCATGGCCCAAGTCAGACGACGCTCTTCCTCCACGATTCCCAGTCCCTCGGGTCCATCCTTGTCACTTTCGCGAGGTATTTCGAGTTATTTTTTCCTAGCATTCGGCAAAGTTAGGCTCTCCATACTGTCTTAATTTCTGCTGTTTATCTGATGTTTATCCCAGTTGCGCAAACTCTCCCAAAACGCTTTATTTATTTATTTATATCAAATGGCAGGCGTCTTGATGGTTATCATTAGCCCTTTAGTTGACTTCAGGGGAGGAGAAACATCAAAGTGAGAAGAATTCAGGAGGGGGAATAGAAGGGTGTTTCAAAGATGTAAAAGAGACAGACACAAAGGTAGAACAAAGGTGAGGTGAGTACTGTGGAAATAGTCGAATATGGCATCGAGTGAGGTGATGGTAGTATGAAGTGAGAAGTCAACTGCCAGTTAATAGACTTTTTTGCCGTATGAATATACGTTGCCCAGGGTGCACACCCCTACGCTTTATTTACTCCTCAGTGAAAGCGTCATTATGTTTTTTTTTTGGAAAAACTGCT